TTGGTGAATGTATCTTTTCTTTTATGGACACTGAGAGCATTTGCACCAAGACATAATTCCTTGGGTGTCCAATCACACTTGGCCAATAAAATAAATAGAATTCTATTCTGTCCTGTTCTGTCCTGTCCTTGTTCTGTTCCGTTCCATTCCTCCTTTAACAGCTTGATTTTTCCCCACCTCCGCAGTAGCGGAAATCCGTACTTACGTCGGCTGAACGGGACGTTCCTGGATTGGCTTTCTCCTCTAAGAGGGGACCGAGCTCAGCCAGTTCGACATCTTCCCGGTCTCGGCTATTGCTGACGGGCGTGCTGCTCCCGGGGCTGGTGGCCGATCCTTTGCGGGATGCCATTGGGTCACCATGCAGGCACCAAGCCGGCGTGCGTGCAAAAAGCTGAAAAAGCCTCGGAGGGTTTCCTTTTTCTTTTTCCTTCAAAACACTCCAATTCTGCCTACAAATAAAATAAAATAAATCACAAAATAATAAAAAAAAGAAAATCAAGCAAATGATTTTTCAAAAGCAGTCTTGCTTCGGGGTAGCTCTTGTGCTATTGCAGAAACAGCATATTTGCTGTAAACTCCTCAACTTATGGTAATTCGTTTGGTCGCTATTTGAAGACAGAACTAAAAAAAAAAAGGCAATTATTCCCACTTACAGCCGTTGCAACAGTCACGGGATAAAGAGTTTTAGCTCGTGTTTATATGACGGTCGCAGGTCCCACCCCAGGCATCAGGCGATTCCACTTTTTGTGACCTCCTGACCAGCAGGAAGGCCGATTCACTTAACGATCATGTCACGAACGGCAGGGATTTTCCCTGGTAGGAAAGGTTGGGAAACAGGGCCAAGGCTCGCTTTGCAACGGTCTGGGTTAGCAAAGGAAATTTGGGGGTGGGGGGGTCAACTGAGGTCATAAGTCAAGGACTAGCTGTTTCCCGCCCTTCATTTCAAGAGGTCCAGCCGCTTGGAATGATTTCCAAGGAATTCAAATGAGGAATAATGGTCAAAAGGAGGACTAAGGAGGAGGGATTTCTTGGTTGCAGAGCTGAAATCGTGGCTGCATTGGGGAATTCTGGGGATTGAAGTCCTCCCCTCTTACAGGCTGAAGAGGGTATGAAAGAGAAAAGAAGAGAGGAGGACAGAGAGAGGAAGGGAAAGAAAGACCGGGGGGGAGGGACTTCGAAATCAGATCGCAGGGAACTCCATTCTAACTTTAGCCCCTCCCCTCTTAAAGGATGCTGGCTATGGAATTCTGGGAGTTGAAGTCCAGCCATCTTAAAGCTTGTGTTTGTGTGTGTGTTTTGTATTTATACACACACACACAACACATACACACACACACTTTAAGATGGCTAGACATACACACACACCCAAGATTATATATATATATATCGAATGCAGAATAGAATTAGAATAGAATGTGGAATAGAAATTAGAATTAGGAATAGAATGGTTCTATTTCTAATTCTATTCTATTCCATCTTCTAATTCTATTCTGCATTCTATTCTGTAGTTTTATTCTTCTATTCTGTTCTATATTCTGTTTTATTCTATTTTCTTCTTTCTCTATTCTAGTTTATTGTATTCTTTATTCTATTCTATTCTAATTCTATTCTGCATTCTATTCTATATATTCATGTATAAATATATTTATATATTTCACATATACGATATTTGGATATATATTGTATATACAAAATACGCTACCTATCTAAATAAATAAACAAAATTTTGTATCTTTTTGTGTTATTATTTTTGTGTTATTATTCTCCTTATCTATTATATACACCTCTTGGAAGCCAGGAGAAAAATTTCTACTTTTTAATTCCCATTTTTTTTGTTGATTGAAAAATGCATCGGAACAGGTGGAGATTTCCTGTTCACAATCCCCCATCTGCCCCCGCCCCTCTTAAAGCCCAAATTGTGTTGCGCTGTGGGTTTTCTTTTGTGCTACCCACTTGACACTCATTCCTGTCCTGGGCATTTCACCAGAGGCTGCACAATCGAAGAGGCATCCAGAAGGGAAAAACCGCAATATATAGAATCATAGAATGACAGCATTGGAAGGGATCTTGGAGGTCTTCTAGTCCAACCCCCTGCTCCAGAAGGAGACCCTTACAGAATCATAGAATGGCATGGTTGGAGGGAACCTCAAAGGTCACCTAGTCCAACCCCCTGCTCAAGCAGACCTTTCCAGAATCATAAACCAACAGCGATGGAAGGGACACAGGAGATCATCTAGTCCAACCCCCAACTCAAACAGGCCACCTTTACAGAATGACAAGAGTTGGAAGGGATCTCAGAGGTCATCTAGTCCAGGGGTTGCCAACCTTTTGGACCTGAGGGACCACCAAACTCATAATTTTAAATTCCAGGGACCACTAAACGGTTCTGTGGGCGTGGATTGATTTGTAGGTGTGGCTTGGTGGTCATGTGACTGGCTGGGCATGGCTTGTAAGTACATATTATAAATATTTATATAAATATTGAATTTTTTATTAAAAAAGAGCAACTTTTACCCAAAACCAGGCAAAGCAGGCAGGCAGATTGAGTTGCTCACAAAATCACAGATTCATTCAGAGATCTATCTATCTGCCATTGGCTAGCTCAATCTGTCACATAAAATTTGCTTGTAAGGAAACTCACAAAATTAACTCACAACACACCATGTATGTAAATATTAAATATTGATGTGGAAAATACCCGAACAAAGCTGAATACCATAAATGTAAGTACCCGCAAAAACTTAACACACACACACACACACACACACACACACATATGGTATTCAGCTTTGTTCGGGTATTTTCCCACGTCATTATAGCTGTGTTTTTAAAGTTGTAGCAACGTTTCAGCAGAATCTCATCTGCCATCATCAGGCTTCTGTATTGTGTTCGTCTGTTCCTATTGTGTTCGACGAACACAATACAGAAGCCTGATGATGGCAGATGAGATTCTGCCGAAACGTTGCTACAACTTTAAAAGCACAACTACAATGACGTGGGAAAATACCCGAACAAAGCTGAATGCCATACATATAAGTACCCACGAAAACTTAAGAAAATACACACACACACGCATATATACATATACATATATGTATGTGTATATATGTATGTGTATATATATATGTATATATACATACACACACACACACACATATCTATACACACACACACATATATGTTTTCTGAGGTTCTCGTGGGTATTTGTATGTGGATCTTTGGTTATTCAGGTTTTCTCCCGTGTAAGATTGGCAGTATCTAGGCAACGTTTCGATGAAGTCTCATTCATCATCTTCAGGCTTGTGTCTTCGGCTCTGTGCTGAGTGCAGAGAAGCACAGAGACGAAGACACAAGCCTGAAGATGATGAATGAGACTTCATCGAAACGTTCCCTAGATACTGCCAATCTTATGCGGGAGAAAACCCGAATAACACACACACACACATATATATATATATATATATATAGAGAGAGAGAGAGAGAGCTCCTTTTACTCAAAATCAGGCAAAGCAGGCAGGCAGATTGAGTTGCTCACAGAATCATTCAGTAATCTATCAATCTGCCATTGGGTAGCTCAGCCTCTCAAATTTGCTTGCCGTGAGTCTGCACTGAATAACAGAACATTCAGTCCTAAAGGAGGTTTGGCTGTGCTTAAAAGCAGAGCCGAAGAGCTAAAGACTAGCTAGAAAGCAAGAAATCCAACCATTTCCTGCTTCCTAGCTAATCTAAATCTCCCGGCACAGCAGAACAGCTGATGGTTTGGGAAAGGGAAAATAGAAATTTAGCAGGCAAGTTTGCTGGGTAAGGAGTGAGTAGGCAAGGAAGGTTCTCACAGGCCATAACGGCAGCACAGCCTTGTGTTTCTGCACAGCCTGGATTAATTGCTTTGGGGGGGTGCTCTGGGGGTGAGATTTCTCTGCGGCCCTCCAAAATTTTCTTGCGGCCCACTTGTGGGCTGCAGCTCACCAGTTGGCAACTGCTGGTCTATGGGAAGGTCGTAAATGTGCAAGGAACTCCTCACAAGTGGCTTGATCCCGGGGCGGTTCTAACTTCCAACGGTTGGCAAGCGCTGGACTAATCCAACCTCCTTATCTACCAGGAGACCTTTACGGAATCATAGAATGACAGTGTTGGAAGGGACATTGGAGGCCATGTAGTCCAACCCCCTGCTCAAGCAGACGACCTTTACAGAATAATAAACTGACGGTGTTGGAAGGGACCCAGGAGATCAACTAGTCCAGGGGTAGGGAAACTTGGCTCGTCTATCACTGGTGGACTTCAACTCCCAGAATTCCTGAGTGAGCCGTAAAAGGTCCCCCATCCCTGGACTGCTGGTTTTTCAGTGGTGGGGGAAACCCATTTTTGACTCGAACGGGACTGTTTAATATACAAA